ACGGCTACCAAAATCCACTACGCTAATATTAGTATACGACATCGTAGCCGTACACTTGGCCCTCACATCATCCCCTCCTCTCGGAATAATGGAAGGCCGTCAGGGTTCTCTTGTAGATGGGCCGGGATCTAGAGGAACGTCAGGAGGAGGCATCGGTGGATCTGTAGACGGTATTAATTTGCTCATGATCCCTTTGTATGAAGCGTTTTAACCGCTGCACATGCACAATCTCCGGAGGATCGGCCTGCTGAACGTCATGCCGAACCTCATAAACTTGTGGTCCAACTTGCCGCAACACCTGATACGGTCCTTTCCACTGCGCAAGGAGCCCCTTAGATAAACCACGTACCGTAAGATGGGGAAAACGGACTAACACCAAATCATCCACTTTGTACTCCGCAGGTGGACGATGATGGGAATTGTAGCGCCGTTGTTGTCCCACTTGTACGCGGCCTAAGTGTTCAGCAGACTCTGCTTGGACAAGTGGAAGAATGCTTGTCAAATATTGATCCCATGACTTAGCATCAGGAGCTCGTGGCAATCGCAAAGGTAAACCCAGCTCTACTGGTAATATTGGATCATGACCATATAGAAGTTTATATGGTGAACCACCAATAGAACTCTGCACCCCTGTGACATAGGCATACCGAAGAGACGGCAAATAACCATCCCAATCCGAATGTTGAAAGTTCACATACTTCACAATCATCCCTTTGAATGTCCGAACGAGCCGTTCCACCAGACCGTCTGATTGTGGATGATAAGCACTCGTAAAAGTGTGGCGTATCCCCAACCGAGATGTCAAAACATGAAATACCTCAGCCATAAATGCAGGACCATTATCTGAAAGAATCCGCTTTGGACAAGAATGCTGGAACACCACTTGATTGAGGAGGAAGTATCCAACAGCAGTTGCAGAGGCACTAGCAAGAGCACCAACTTCCACCCAACGAGTCAAGTAGTCAGAAGCAATAATAACATACTCATTGCCAGCAGTCGATCGCGGAAAAGGTCCCATAAGATCAAACGCCACCAACTCAAACGGACGAGAAACTGCAATTGACTCCAACCGTCCTTCCTCAGCACAAGGGGGAGTATTACGAGCTTGGCACCAAACGCAGCTACGCACATACCGGATAATATCACGTCGCATCTCTGGCCAATAGAAAGATCTGCGCAGCTTCTCGGTGACACGACGGTGTCCCATATGCCCACCTAGAATAGGAGAATCATGGTAGGCATGGAGAAACCGCGGAATAAACACCGAAGGCACCACCAGCCGTAAATGATCAGCAGGATCCGTCCCCACAAAATAAAGAAGGCCATCTTCAAGGCGATATTGAGAATGTAAATGCCGAAAAGGCAAGTCATCAGCAAGTGATGCAGGATTCTCAAACCCATCTCGAAGCCTTCGAATCCACAGCTCAATCTTTTGAGCCTCGCAAACCTCATCAAGAGAAGGTAGATCTTGCTCTACGCCCTGTGGACACTGAACGTCAAGGACAGCAACCGCCGACGGCACAGAATCCTCATCTAGAAAATCCACAGATGCTGGAACAACAGGTTCGTCAGAAACATGAGAAGTGAGTGGAGAAGGAAGAGGAGCTCGAGAAAGGGCATCAGCATCAGCCATAGAACTCCCTGGGCGATGAATAACATCGAAATTATATATCTAAAGCTTCAAAGCCCATCGAGCCGTACGACCAATTAGGTTTTTCCGCTTCAATAATGAAGTAACAGCAGCATGGTCACCTTCAAGTAACGTCCGAGAACCATGTAGATATGCATGAAGTTTCTCGAAACCCCAGACTACTGCTAAACACTCCTTCTCCGTCGTGGAGTAGTTCATCTCCGCTGGTTGTAATGTACGGCTTATGTATGCAATGGGATGGTGCTGACCAGGCACACTCGAGCTCTCTTGCATCAACACACCTCCAAGACCAATGTCAGAAGCATCCACGCGCAAAATAAAAGGTCGAGTGTAGTCAGGATATGCCAAAACCGGAGGAGTCGTCAATAGCTCTTTGAGATTCACGAACACCCGCTCATAATTGGGAGACCAGATGAAAGATGACGTTGATGGCTTCAGCAACGCTCGCAATGGTGTAGTGCGATCGGAAAGATGATCCACAAAACGACCAAGATACTGCACCTTACCCAAAAAGCGCTGCACATCATTCACACACTTTGGAGTAGGGAACTTTAGAACAGCCACAAGTTTGTTAGGATCAACTTACAAACCCTCACGAGAAATACGGTACCCAAGATAAGTTGTGTCCTTGGACCCAAACACGCACTTTGACCGCTTCAGCTTTAAACCAACGTCGCATAGCCAATCCAACACTTTACAAACATCACGAACATGCTCCTCCCACGTCCCTTCCGAGTGGATCAAGACATCATCAATGAAGTCAGCCGTCACCTCCGGCATATCGCAAAGAACCTCGTCCATCATCCGCTGAAAAGTTGCTGGAACATTGTTCAAACCAAACGGCATCACCAAAAACTCGTACAAACCAAATGGTGTACAAAAAGCAGTCTTAGGAATATCTTCTTCGGCCATCAGTACTTGCCAATACCCAGAAGCAAGATCTAGCTTGGTGAACCAACAACTTCGCCCCAGACGATCCAAGAGATCAGCAGTGTGAGGAAGAGGGTACACGTCTGGGATCGTCACTTCATTTAACGGACGATAGTCGATGCAGAAACGAATACTCCCATCAGGCTTCGTCACAAGATGAGGTTCACATGCCCAAGGACTCCGTGACTTCCGAATAACACCCTTTTCCAACATCTCCTTGACGTTTGCACGTAAAATCTTGATCTCCTTGGGTGACCGACGACGAACAGGAACCTTGATTGGACGAGCATCCCCGGTTGGAATGGGATGACGTGTGGCAATCTTGGCCCCAGACGATAGGTCAAATTCAAAGAGATCAGAATACTCCTTCATGAGCTAGTCAACAGCTGCAACACAAAGATCATCGGAGGGATCGGAAAAAGGAAGAGCAGAACAAGATGGAAACACAAGAGGAAATAGGGGGGGAACAAAAGTAATGGAAGCAGAGGTAGAAGTAGAGGGACGAAGAGGTACGGAAGTGAGAGGAATAGATGAAACATAAGGAAGTATGAGACAAGGGGGAGAAGCCTCAAAGTCACACTTGGCATGATTGTGCTGCAACCAATCCATACCAAGAATGAGGTCAAAAGCTTGACTCGGCACCACCCGCAATGACTGCAACTCAAGCTCGAGATCGCCCACACGAACAACCAGGTCCGCCTCATCTCGTGCACATGCATGTGTACGGCCGTTGCCGTAAAGAATGAAAACTGGATCCGCCGCACGACGCAAGTGTAGACAACAACGTGTGGCAACAGGTCGAGCAATAGAAGATAAACTCGAACCTGTATCAACCAACATGGAGAGAAGAATATGAGACCTCTTGTTATAAAAATGAGCTTGGAAAGTAAACACTGGATGAACCGGTGCCGAGTGAACCCCTTGATGATACTCCCGAAAGAAAGATGGAGGGGTCACTAACTTATTCGCGCAAGGTCCCTCCATTACTCGCGCGACTCCTCGTTTCCCGAATGCACCTCAGGATCCAAACCTTCCACCGCAGCAGCACCAACGGGACGTTGCTGACGCCAAGGTCTCCACCCAGGAAATGGAGGTCGCCAATCCGGAAAGCGCCGACAACGCCGATAAGTATGACCAACTTCATCACACGCCCAGCAACGAACGTCACGGCCACAACCACGTCCTCGCCCTTGTCCTTGGACTCGAGTAGCAGCAGCATCAACCTCCATGGGAATAGGACCATCACTCATAGGAAGTGGAGCTGAAGGACGTGTAGCAAGAAGTGGAAGAGGCGACGTCTCATAACGTTGTGCCAAGCGAAAAGCATCGTCAAGAGTGGCAGGAGCAAGTGCATGCACAAGTCCAACAAGATCTTGACGAAGTGCTGGCCACAGCATTCCTAGCTTGATCCGCTCCGACATATTTGGCTCCGCACGAAGCAAAAGACTTCGGAAACGAACGCCAAATTGCATCACCAACTCAGATGACCCTTGGCGAAGACGATGCAATTGTTGGAAGGCATCATCACAATTGTCGGCGTGTCCAAAAGCGCGTTTGAAGTCGTCCGGAAGAACACTCCAATCGCCATAAGTAGCTGCGCTCAATCCATTGTACCATTGCAATGCCATCCCTTGGAGACATGTGGGGAACTCACACAAACGTCGAGCATCATCCCAAGAATGATATGTGGCAATCACCGTGAAGTGATCGAACCAATGGTACACATCATCCCCAGGATTCCCACGAAAGAACTCCGGTCGAACGCGAGGATTAGCACCAAAAGCAGGAGGAGTTGTACCATGTGCCGTGAACGCTGCCATCAACTGAGTTTGATTGTTCAATTGCAAGTGCATAGCATCAAGCAATTGAACCAACTGCTGCTCTAGAGTCAAAGGAGGAGATTGCGGATCAGCCATGAAGATGAATGAAAAAGAAAAAGCAAAAGAAGAGAAATGACAAAAAGCTGGAAAGAAATGGTAGATCTAGACAATGCAAAAAGTTAGATCTAAACCAAAATCCTGAAAGGAAAGAACAAAAGAAAGGAAATGGAAAAAGCTAGATCTAGACAATGCAAAAGCTAGATTTAAACCGAAATCCCAAATCCAAGCACTCCCCAGGGACAATCAAAGGTGCCCCTCACCTCCACCAATGTGAGTGCATGGAATATGGAAAGGGAATACAGAAATGTGCATATCAATTAACCCAAAAACCCTAGCTTATATACAGGAGCAAATGGTCCGGATTGAAACGAATCAGACGGCTACCAAAATCCACTATGCTAATATTAGTATACGGCATCGTAGCTGTACATTTGGCCCTCACAGATGGTGTTTGACGGGAGGCTCAATTTTTTATGAAAACCGACTGGGATCGGACGGCTGCGAGAGGCTGGGCTCTTCGATGTATAGATAGCCCTTGCGTTCCATAAGAAAGGGTTTCGGTGGCGGCTAGGGTTTCGCAGGTGTTTCTTGGCTTATGGCGTCTTCAGCGGAGCCCATGGAGGTGGATGATCCGGTTTCTGGCTTGTCAAGGGAAATCCGGGAAGTTGAACGGCAGATTGCTGTAGTTGAGGGCCAAATTACAGCGGTTGAGGGCCAAATTAGTGCGGTTGAGGGGCAACTGGAGCAGCCAAATGATCCCATGAAGGAGGAACGGCTGGTCAAGAAGGAGGAGCAGCTGCGCGAGAAGGAGAAGCAGCTGCGCGAGAAGGAGAAGCAGCTGCGCAACGAGAAGGAGCAGCTGCGCGAGGAGGAGAAGCAGCTGCGGGATAAGTCCAAGGGTAAGCCTTTGTTGATCTCATTGTTTGTCTTTCCCTTTTAGATCTCTTGGTCCCTTTTGACTTGCGTTGTTTTTTCTTGCAGAACCAGTCAAATCGGTTTTGACTGTGGCAAATATAGATAGTCTCTTGGATAGGTTTTGGCATGAGTTGCGCAAGCCAAATCTTCAATATCCCAAGGCGGATGCGTTTCTGGCGGATTTCCCAACGTGTAAAGTCCCACTGCCAAAAGATCCTACAGATGAATGCCCCTGCCTCTTGTGGTTTGCTCTAAACCAACCTTTCGAAGCATCCAAGCGTATCATAGAGGTAACTGACAAAGCGCAGCCGACCCTCACCGTTCTCTTCAACGTGTCGGGATCGGGGAAGACCAGGACATTATATGAGATCGCTGTAGCGCAGCGTGGGCTCTTCTTTGTGGGGGTCTGTGAGACTGGTATTGGAGCTGAAGGTTCAGGAGATCTCAAGTTAGTGGCATCAAAGTTGCTGGAGCTGTATCCAACTGGAGACATTCCAGAAGTTAGTGCTGCAATCTGCCTCAAAGCTTTGCTCATCAGCAGGTTTTATTTGCTGGGGCAGGTGGAGAAAATGGGCTATCTGACGGGTCAGGCATGGCTCTTCAAGCAGGTTGCAATCCCTTTGCTCCAGCATTTCTACAACTTCAAAGATCCGTTCAAGGCGCTCACCATTAGACTTTTAAACTTGATACGGACTGAGAAAGACTTGGAACGCATTGAAGGTCAGTTCCAGGGGGTACTGGATCGTCTAAAAGGGAATTGGGATGGTCCGATTATATTTGACGAGTGTCAAATAATAAATTGCTGGTTGGAGAAGCGCTTTTCACCATCGACTCTTGGTTGTAGCAGCAGATCATTTCTCGACATTCTTGTGCCGGCACTCATAGATTGTGGATTTCGACAATTCTACTATGCAGGCACAGGTGGTAGTATGCTAGCCGTGGCACGGGGTATCTCTGCCACTTTGAAGAGAAGAGCTTCTGTTATGGTCTTTCATGGATTTGGTGGATTCACCACTGTTGAGGACTTCAAGCTCTATGCTGGGAAACTACTCCGAAGTGTGGATGGTATTGATATGCAGAGGGTCTGTGATTTGTACAAAGGGAGGTACAGGTTCTTTGTCACAGCACTTGAGCATTTCATTGGGAGCAAGCGTCCCTTGGAGCAGGCAACAGAATTCCTGATTGACTTTTTTGAGAAGATATGCACCTCGAGTAAGATCAGTTGTTCTCTGGCGGGTGAGGGTGTACCGAACAAATCAGAATTGGAAGTCTACATGGATAAGACGGTTCTGACGGATGTGGAGCAGTTTTTTGAAAGGACTCGGAATGCTGCAGCGGTCAAGGAGCTAAAGGTGATACTGTATCACCAGGTGTTTGGGTCTATATCCACTGCACTCAACATCAACAATCCATCTCTGAGCCTTGTGGAGTTCGGGTTAGCTTGGCTAAACAGGGGAAACAGTGTTGCATTGGACGACTTGGATAAGTTCTTTGCAAAGCAGGACAGAGACACTTGGATCAAACTTCAGGAACCTGCTGTCGTCCGAGCTCTTTTCCATTACTTTCGTAGTCGGCCAACAGTCTTTGATGAGTTTTGTCAGCAGCAGTTTAAAGCCAAGGGCCAAGGCAGCGATGTGACAGTGGGTCTTGAGTTTGAAAGGCAGGCAGGTCTTATGGTGGCTGACGCATTGGACGGAAAGGCTCCTGTAGACTTTGTGTCTCACTTTCTTCAGAATCGCTCTGTGGAACTGCGCAACAACAATTTTGAAGTTCCTGCGATATATTTTGAGAAGGCAAAGGTGGTGAAAGCACGCGTTGCAACAGGAGTTGTGACTGAGATGTGCGGTAAAAGTCACACCCATGGCACCGACTGTTATACACTTGAGAAGTATCTCAACGACGTTGAAGGGCAGGCTGACGCATTTCCAACGGTTCTCTGGACTGGTGATGGTGGCTGGGGTGCCTTTCGTCCAGATGCGTTGCTTTTTCTCACCAATGACTACGAATCGGAGCGGCGGCTCATTCCTTGCTTATTACAGATGAAATCCGGGGATGATGTGGCTACTCAAGGTGAAATTTCAAGTGCTTTGGACAGTTTGGATTTGATGAATTGCAGAAAGAAAAAAGATGGAGGTTTGAACAGACTTAGAGATCTTGCTTCAAAAAATGGACTACTGCGACTGGCAGTTTTGCCTCATACGGTGAAGGATCTGGAACAGTTTGGTTTCAACTATTTTGCAGGTCAACTCCCTAGTGGTGGGCGGTTTTCCCCACTGAAACGGCAAAATGTTGAGGGGGCCATACAGCCATTATGTGGAGTGATTGGTGGCAATAACGTGTCTTTGTATCTGAAAGAGTGGTTGATTGATTCGGTCTGGGTTCTTAAAGCTACTATATAAAAGTCTGCACGCTCCCATCGAGAACCTGTAAGTCGTGTCTAGCACAAGAAAGACTTTGAATCAAACCAGTAATGCAAGATCCAGTTGGTTTCTCCCAGTGCCTGTATCAAGGCTGAATGCATCTCAAGGAATTGGATCCTGGCTCCACGAGCCTTTCACACAGTTGTCAAGAAAAGGGAAAAACCATAACTGGCATTAGTCCATCTCTTTGAGACGAAAGAAGAACAAATGAAAAAAAAAGAGAACGCATGATTTCGTGGAATTGAGCTAGCAATTCCACTTCTCACCCCTAACTTGTTTCAGTGCTGCCACCCTCGACGATGACTTCTTCCTTTCTAGAAATTCTATCTTTAGAGCCTTCTCTCTCGCCTTATCATTCATCCCACAATACCGCCATTCAACCTAGCAACTTCAATGAAGATGTACCATGCATCCTAATCACAATAGGAAAGAACAAAGCTCCATAAGGAATCATCAACGGCAGCACAAGTGTTAACATCATCGAGTATTTAACTTGCAAAGCAATAAGACTTGGGCTAATCCACCCTACAACCTTCAACATCAAGATGATTAACAATTGAAGTGTACAACCATCAAGAATCATATGCAATACTCCTATCAAGATTAAAGATCAAGAATTTTAGGTAACTTTTATCATGCTCAAAATGGCAAAAGACTAAAGTTCTTATAAAGTACTCCTCAAGCAAACTTGGCTTAAAACAACTGATGTTGTTACATACTAGCGGAAGAACACAATTACCTTTGCAGAACATTAAGAACCCCCTTAAATCCCCACAACTATAGCAAAGAAGATCGCAAAGAAATTTCAATCAACCATCATTGAACAATACAAATGAAGGTCTTAATGACTATGAAAAAGCACAAATCTTGAAGGCATATTAACAGTAACAACCTGAAATTGAAGACAATCAAGAAATTATGACATAGTGTAACGCATGTGATCATGGATGAGATTTAAATATACTATCACCGTGGATCCTTAAAACCTTGGGGGATAAATAGGGATAAAATAGCCATTAAGGGCTCTCTCATCAAACAATTGCCCCTTTTCTAGTTAGCTTAAGGGAAGAGAGATAGAGTGCGCTACATGTGGTATCAGAGAAAATGGCACAGGTTTGATTCCCATTGATTAGTGTCTACTTAAAAATATAATATACCTTGAACAAAGTATATTCCTATCCCTAAAATTTAAAATCGTACGTATTGGGCATCCATGCGTACGTCTTTCCTCTTGGTGGAGCATCCACGAATAAAGGTATCCACCATGGGACTGCGATACAGGTGGATGATTAGTTGCATCAGCTAATCTACACAATAGAAGGATTGGTAAATTGAGTGCGGAAATGGAGGTGCTGGTTCCCCTTAGCTCAGTAGGGGTTGTTAGTCAATAGTCAATGAAGACATTGACATTTTTTAAGGGGGGGTGAGTGTAGTGCATGTGATCATGGGATGAAATTTGGATATACTGTCATTGTGGATCCTTGAAACTTTGGGGGATAAATAGGGATAAAATAGCCACTAAGGGCTTTCTTATCAAGTAATTGTCCTTTTTTCAGTTGGCTTAAAGGGAGAGAGATAAAGTGCGTTACGTAGGGATTAGTCTATTGATTTAAATAATTATTGCTGTGCTCTTTCATAAATTTTTCTTAGATTGGACTGAAGACAGTGCGAATGCAAACTTGAGGTTTAGTCAAAGATAAGATTGAAAAAAGAGTTGTTAGGGATAAAAAATCAAACACGTAAATCATTTTCTCTTGGAGAGATGATTTGCAATGAGGTGTTAGCTCATTGCTCGTGTTCATATTACGCAATCAAGAATCCCTACCTTGATGCATGTTGGTTATGGTGGTCTTACAAATAGTGAGTCTTGGGATGGATAACGGTGAAGCGCTAAACCATTTTATCTAAACTTGCTATTAGAAAACTGGAGTTACAATGCTCAATTCTTTTCTAGGAACTTTGTTATTGTTCCTTGAGTAGTTTGGTGTTAAATTAGTTTTGAGTTTGGTCAGAAAAAAAGTGGCATGAGCTTGTTTGTGTTGTGAACAAAAGTTACTGGTGTTGAGTGTTGTAAGTTTCTATCGGTAGAGTGTCGCATTTGTGTTACATTTTGTCGAATCGAATTAGCACTTGATGCTCACATAAACCTTTGAAATAATAACATGGGTGTTACTCGTAGTGTTGCTCAATTGATAATCAAGTCATTGTGATTTTATATCATATCCATATGATAATGAACAATGTGTTGACGAAGTTGCTTGGTTAAATGATAATCAACCCCAAAGTGGTTGATAGTGAAGTTAGTCTACTTATACGAAGTAGTATTGTAGTAACTTTAATTGGATTCTCAATGGTGGTTCATTATGCTAAGTTTATATTGGTACCCTATTTCTTGGGGAATTTGCCTATAAGGTGTTGGAAAGGGTTATAACATTCACTTGCTATAGCTTGTCAGTTGATCCATTAGCACTTGGAGTAGATTGTTGGATGTAGAAGGTGTGTAGTTGAGGCATTGACATTTCTAGCACTTGTGTTAGTGGAAGTGGCATTATTATTTTGAGTGATGAAGAATTTTTCCTTAGAACTTGATTTTTCATGTCATTTTTCTTGTTAGTATTTTGGCTTAACATTGGATCTTGAAGGTGAAGAAAAGTGTTAGTGCAATATGGATATCCAAAGATGTAGTCTTCATGATCAAGCCTTAAATATTCACTTTGCATTTTGCAGATGTTGGTGTTGGATGTCGGTTATATGGGCAAAAATGTTCGATGTTTAAGCATGCTATTGGGTCATAAGAATTTGTGTTGAGGTGAACATATATGAAGTTGTTGGTAGGAGGAAGTTGGTTTATATTCCTAGACTAAGAGTCATTCTTTCTCTATGATGGAAAATTTTCCACAAATTTTCTTCAAACTAGTGAAGGGGCTCAAGTTGACTTTGGTTGGCTTAAACCTTAGTAGGCAGTTTGTATGATGCAACCCAAAAGGGATGCTGACTTTTGGGGCTAACACAATTGAGTTGAATAGAGTCTGGAATTGGTATAGAAAAGTGGCCGTTACGCTTTTCTAAGAAAGGTGACCCTTGTGTCTTTCTTCTATAGCGTTGTGCTTGGTGGCAGGTTGCACCTTGCATTTCGTTATACTTTATGAGAGTAGTGAGCTCTCACTGATCTTAATTTTTTAATTCTGACAAACCTGACATTTACTAGCCAGAAAGCATAGAGTACAAATTTAAAGAAGTGACAAGAATACTCTTTTTGCAAATATTTTATTTTATATTCTAACAAATGTCCCTATCATTGCATGTAGTAAATATTTAAATTATTAGAACAAGAAGTGTTTTTTAGAACATTTTTATCTATATAATATATAGAGAGTTATTAAATTATTAGGTTAGCCATAAACTTAAAATTTTAAAGTTTATAATGTTTATACTAAATTTACAATTGAAAATTAAGCTCAACTTGTGAGCTCAAATATGGTCTGCGCCCAGTGGGGCACCATTCTATATGAGTTAGGAATATTACAATTGATTTTCCTTCCAAGAGTGGGAGTTGCCCTTGGGTAGCCTCTCTAGCAGCACTCGAATCCATGCTCACTCCCACCCAAGGCCATTAACCCCCAATCCCAACCTCAACTCAGTTGAAAGCACTATTGGAGAGTTCTTTCAAGACTAAGTCTTGAACCTCATTATCTCTATTATATTTTTGGAACCTTCTACAACCAATCCCCCACCCCTCCTGAGAAACGATCATTTTGGGCTTTTACCCCATAATTTGTATTAATATTCAGACTTGGTCTTGGAGTTGATCTTGGACTTGGTCTTAGATCCGGACCCAATCTCAGATTCGGACTTAGTCTCAAATTTGGTCTTGATTTGGTCTCGGAGTTGGTGTTTAAACTTGATCTCAGACTCAATATTGATGAACTCTTTATCATTCCAGTTGTGATTTTATAAATCCTTTAGCCTACGATACCTTAAGGAGTTAGTTGTAAAGAACTAACTCCCTGAGATGTTGAAGGCTAAAGGATCCTCGAAAGCAAGACCAAAATGATAAAGAGTTCATCGGATGAGACCAAGTCCAAGATTGAGTCCGAGACCAACTTTGAAACCGAGTTCGAGACCGAGTCCGAGATCAAGTTTGAGACTGACTCAGAGACCAAGTTTGAAACCGAGTCTAAGACCAAAATCAAGACTGAGTTCAAGATCCGAGATGGAGTCCAAGACAGAGTCTAAGGTCGGGTCCGAGATCAAGTCTGAGATTGAGTCTGAGACCGAGATCAAGTCCAAGACCGAGTCCGAATACTAATGCAAGTCATTGGGTGAAAGCCCAAAGCGCGTGTCTCCTGGGGGGGGGATACAAGGGGTTCCAAAAGTATAGTAGGGATAGTGACATCTAGAAACTAGTCTTGAAAGAACTCTCCAACAGTGCTTCCAAACTGACTTGAGGTTGAAGCCAAGGCTAATGGGCCTTGGGTGAGAGTAAGCATGGTGCCAGAGAGGCCACCCAAGGAAGTGCTCAAGGAAAAACCCAAGCTTGCTTAGTCTCCCCCTCATATTGCACCTTCACCATGCCACACCCGACTTCACCTCCTTGTGACCAATGATGCAAGCACTCACTCAATGTGTCTTCCTTCATTGGGGACAGCACCAAAGGCTCGTAACCGGAATGCCTTGATGAGCAATTCTCGAGAGAGCTGCACTGGCTGATCATGCTCAACACATTGTTTTCCTCCGGTCCAGAGGCTGTTCCAGAAGTGGTATCACTACCATCATCCCTGCATCAACCTCCAGTCCAATCGGAGTCACCACCAATTTACTCTTCATCGCAACTTGAATCATTCAAGTGTTGTTGCCATCCCCAAGTGTGATGAAACCGGTCCTCCAGCTCTGTTCCACCTGTGCCTGGCGCAGCCATGGTCTTCCCAGGTAATCCATCGGGGTACCTCCTTCCATTCTCAACACTACATAATCGACAAAGAAGGTGAAACTTGCAATCTCGGTTTTCACTCCCGTAATGACCCTGATTGGCTTGGAACGCAACTGATTTGCCATGCGGACCTTGAAATGAATTGGTGTAGGTGCATCCAGCTCCAACTTGGATACCATGGCCTCTGGCATCACATTAATAGCTGAGCCCCTGTCAATCACACACTCTCAGAGCCTCTCGCCCACAATCGTAGCATCAATCACAGGTGTATCCAGATCAATCATTGGCCAGGCTGCGTTCACAATTGCTTCCCAGTGCTCCTTGACAGCCATGGTGACCCTGGAGCCAGCTGCAAGAGCTGAGCAAAAGTGATGCTTGGCTTTTGATTCTCCAAATTGTGGAGGATGTCGTATGGCTTGGTCTCTAGGTTGAGCACCGTCTGGTAATGTCGTCTTCGTTCTCCCCACCAGGGTCTAATATTGACCAGCTACTTAAAAAAAAATTTGACTAGTAAAATTTTTTTTTACTAGTTTCATGACAAGGAGCTTGTAAATTAAAATTGTCATTTGAATACAAATAAAAAAACTAACTAGTAGCAATAGTATGAGGTTGCCTCTGCTTCATATTCTTCCATACCTTAAATACTTCATGCCAATTTATAATTCTTGGATCTTCACTATTGAGTTTCACCATCATTAGCGCATCTAACATATGTAGCTTTAATAAGGCTCTAGTCTTCGATTTAGTATTGTTCTACAATGAAAACCCTTGCTCACATAAAGCAGTATTTGTAGGGACAACCATACAAAGTTGGAATAGCTTCATTAAACCCATAATAAAGCAAGTTAAATTTTATAAGAAATATATACCTGGAAACATATTCCACCATCTTTCATTTGTGCTACAGAAGCTCCAAGCATCATGCATTGTTTTGTTTCCAATGCTCCACATTAAAAACCCTGTAAAATCATCAAGTTTGTTGTTACAAGCAACAATATTCACCATGGTTGAATCAGTGTTGATTGTCTCTAGTAGCCGATTGAGCCATGTTCTTGTAAGTGTTGATCTCTCTTGAAAGTCTTGAGGCTATGACACTGGTCTAAATAGCTTGAAGCTGTTGAAGAAGGTAACATCTGGAAAACAGGTGTTCAACGTGTTCACTGTTGCTTGAACATAAGCTTGGCCCTTGATCACACAATCTGCTACTGAACCTGGAGTTGGTGCTGGCAATAAAACTGTCCCTAGAGCATTCAAATCTAGACCAAGTGGAACAACACTTGAAGATTGAGCAGGTTCACTTGACATCCTAGTGTTCTTCACCTCCACTGGCTTGTATTATAACTTGTGTACAGACTTATCCCCTCCAGCCTTGACATAAGAAAGCTCTCCATTCACGCTATCCTTTGTGCCCCTTCAAAGTTTCAATTGTCATATCTAGAAATGATACAATCTCCAAGTAATTTGTCATTTGTGCTTGGAAAAGGACGTTCAACTTGTTCAGCTCAGCCAAAACATCTGCTAGCAAATGAATAAAAAACTGAACCTAAAATGATAGTTTAAATTAGAACTTACACTAATTTTAACTAGAAAAAACCATACCTGAATGGTCGTGAGGCTGGAGTACTGAGTTTTATCTGCAATTTTCCACTGATCAAGCAAAGCAGGCATAGCTATCACCAGCCACTGCATCACTTCTCCCCTAGATAGCCAACGAACATCATGCATTGCTAGCATCTTGAGCTCCTTAAGACAATATGACTGTAAAAGCTCCTTTAGCTCTTTATGCCTTAAAGAGCTTTTCCCCAGCCACGACTTGATTTTTTGAGCTAGCTTGTCGATGGCGTCAAAGATTGGTTGATTGGTTGTAAAGCCATCCTTGGCTCTCGGTGAGCTACGCAGTGCACACCAATGATCTTGGGACAAATCATTCTCAGCCTCTGGAGCACACCTGTGTTACGGCCCACCATACTCGAAGCACAGGCTATCATGTTCTCTACTCTCAAATTCATGTTCAGTGTTTCAAAGATCAATTCTGATGTCCCATTCTACACTTGTAGAAGCTTCAGAAAGTCACAGTGTAGCTCCTTCCCTCCAAGCAAGTAGACCATATAAATGATCAAATGCTGTTCACAGCCATGGTCAGTACTTTCATCTACCAAAACTGAGAAGAAAAGACTCTCCCTGATGTTGTCAAAGAGCCTTTGTTGCACCACATCTTGAATTGCATCGAGGAAATCATGTGCTGCTACGGGATTGACATATGCTGAATAATCGCTGCCTATAGGAAAGTTTGGTGCCTCTGGTAGACGGAATTCTGGAACTCCGAAGCTATACTGTCCAATGGAAAAATTGCTACCACAAAGTGGTGAACCAGCTTCATCACCTGAGGAATTCTCTCCTCTTCTTCATTGAGTCATTTTTCACATGCAATGTCCATAGGCCCTTTTTATAGCTTCATCCTTCTAATAGATCTCTCACAAGCTTGCTCCAAGGATGCACAAGACCCCATTTAGCACGCCATTTCCTAGTAAGCACCTTCATTTAATCATCACTTTCTACTGTATCAACTAGTAGTCAACAACAGTCTCTTCTATCTCAAGATGCTCATCCAAGTGAGCCAACCGAGACAAGAAGAAAAAAGACCCAACATTTTTTTTCTTCTTATAAGCAGTTCCAAAGCCACTGGCCATGAAGAAACTAGTGAGAAATAAGAGTCAATTTGGCTCTTTTTACTCACTTTCTGCCTTTTCTTTTGCCCCACACTCCTATGATAAAAAAAAAGAGCACACTCTAAGTAATGTTGCTAGCATTTTTTCTAAATGCTACTTACCCAGTAGAAATATCAGTGATAAGGACTTGGTCCTCCTCTTCGTCCCTCTTCTGTCCCATTTGCCCTTATTTTACATTGACATGTATAATGTATTAGGTATATGCATGGAATATGTATGACCTGTTGTATAGAAAAGTAAATAACTATTTGACTAGTGTATTTGACGTTTACTAGTCACTATGACAAGTTTATGATATAAAAAAGTTAGCAATTGATAAGAGCATCTTAAAATTACTAGTATTTGACTAGAAAAAAGGCCAAAAACCAGTATTTACCAGTCAATATTATACACTGCTCTCCAGGGATTCACACTGCCTCTCACCTCTTGGATCTGATCCTGCAGCCTGATCGGCTTTGACAATCCCGCTTTCTCAGGACTTGAGCAAAATTGGATTTCTCCTGAGGGCTTGGCAATGATGGGCGCATGGCACCATCTGGTCTGTTCACGCCAGCATTCCCAACGTCCAATGACACTTCCATTTATGGGGCTCGTGACTGGCGATCTGCAAACTCCGCCACTCTTTTCTCACGGGTGGCACGGCGATTTCTCCTGGCGATCACCTCCGAGTCCTCACCAAAAGCCTGGCTTGGATCTCCCCCGTACACTCCTTGTGCCTGTTGCTTGTATCTGGCTCGAGTCTCCATACTGAGTGTAGGTACGCCGGCTCCTTCTTGCAGATCCTCTGCGACTACAAAGATCGCCTTACTATCTACCACTCGCTTGCCCCGATCAGCTGCTGGCAGTGGTTGATTCACTCCTTGACTGGTGTTCTACAAGTGGTATAGACACTGATCCTGTGTGTGTAGCCCCTGGGTTTGACAAATTCCACAAATGGGTCGATACTCCTCATTTTTCTAGGGATTCAGACAGTGCGGTGTGATGTGTCCTTGCTCGTGGCAGCGGTAGCAAATGATCTGTAATCTTGGCTTCTGACCCCAACCTCCGGTTGCCGGAAATTAGGATGGTGGCCGAGGCACGGATTGTTGGGTCGGCTCCAAGGCATAGACTGGGTATGACACCTGCTGCACTGCCGGTAACTGGGGTTGAGCATAATAGCTCGGAACCTCCATTGAAGACTGAAGTGTGGGGTAGATGGGCTGTGCGATAGCGGGCCCAACTAGTTGCTGCATATCCCTCATCCGAGCAAAGCAATTCTCAGTGGTATGGTTGGCTCAACAACAATACCCACACTGTGGATGAGCTGCTTGGGGATTTAGACACTCACTTGGGTAATGCCCGTACCCCTTGCACCTTACGCACCAGATTTCCGGCCTGTCGACCACTTTTTGAGGCTGAACACCACCTTAACCCCTCACTAGGTTCACCTGCAACTTGGCCATCTGCTTGGTGAGGGTTTCGACCACGTCTTCTTTCACCTTGGCTAACTGAGCCTCAAAACCTTGTAGATTGGAATTGGTCACTGGCAGGGACAATGGTGGTGCTGCTGGCACTGCTGGAAGAAGGGTGGTCTGCATCGCAGGCATGTATTGCACCCCTGCCAGCATACTCGGGTAAGTCGCGGGTGTCAGCGACGATCTTGATCCCAGTCTCGCTTGCTCCCAGGTAGCCACATGCTCCACCGCTGCATTGAGATCGGTTGGCCGATGAATCTTCACATGAAAGCTGATTTCGTATGGCAAGCCATTGAGGTAACACCTCACTTGATCTTCTGCAAGAGGCGCAGGGTTCTTTCGCTGCAGGAGAGCTCAATATCTGCAGGTGTAATCCTCTCCCGGGAGCAAATGGATCAAATTGAGCTCCTCCGTGATTCTGGTGCTGAACCCAAATGGTCAGAACTGAGTCAAAAAGGCCCTCTTCATTGCATCCCAGGTCACAAATGCCAGTGCCACACCTGACGTCACCTGTGCATACCAATCCATGGCTGGTCTGGAGAGTGTTGTTGGAAACCATCTCAGCAGCAGTGCGTCTGCTTGTTCTTGATTTGCCGTGCTCACTACTTCAAAGGCTGTGATGTGAGAGTCTAGATTGCTCAGGTTCATGAACTTTGAATATTTTTCCCTTCCTCCTGATAGTGCTGGTTGAGCCATTGCAGTTACAAGAGGGGCTTGAGGGGTTGGAGAGGACGGAGGGGTTGTCTCAGTTTTTGATGAATCCGATCCACTTGGCGAGACCAAAGGCCCTACTTCTGGTTCCAGGGAACCTGGGGGTGCCGAGGGTTGCGAGTCCTGAAACCTTCCCCACTCCTCTTCTTCCTCCGAACCTTCTGGCTGCTCCGGTGTCAGTTCTCTGGGCTATTCCACAGGGTACTTGATTCCCTGCGTTTCAGGTATCTTTCTTTCCTACTCTGCTTCTGCTTCTCTTTTATTTCCTAACTGAATTGATAATACTCCTGTTCTAGGTGTCAGCTCAACAGCCTCCTCTTTCCACAGGGGCGGCTGCCCCTTCTGTGCTACTTGAGATAGGTTCCCGGCTAACGCACCATTTTGTAGTCCATACTCACACCATGACTGGAACATAGGAAACAACAGGGAAAAGGACTGCATTGGGATGTTGCCTCGGTGCTCCAAACTGCTGATGTTTCACCATCCTAACTCTACCCTCTCCATTACTCGCAGCCAAACTCGTCTGTTCCAACCTCCAAATATTCCCCCAGCTAATGGCTTCCCCTTTCCGCCTAACCACCTGTGCCGCGAATAATTTCCCAAATATCCATTATCAACACAATCTTCTCAAACACGACTCATGCTCCTCTCACTTCCTCCGGTTCTCTGGCTTGACAACACCTGCAATCTCACACAAACAACTCGCCGGTTGATCCTGGCACACTTCCTGCCTCTTGACACTCTCCACTCCTCTCTCTCGATTTGCTCCTACATTGGTGTGCGTAGATTTGTCCTCGCTCGCTCTCACTGCTCTGATTTGGATTGGAGACTCCCTCCAGATCTCTCCCAGTTCGTGACGATGGACAGATCATTCTCTTTTGGCTATTTTACCGTCCTCGTTGTCGATCGATCGATAAGCCGGCAGCTGTGTACAAGTAAAAATGCGTTCTTTCCCTTCGCTTTGGTTTCTTTTCACTTTTCTTTCACTGGATCCATCTCCATCCCACTTAGAACAGCAGAGTTTCTAGGAATTTTTTGTTTTCCTTGTGGTTTCTTCGTTTAAAGACTTGATTTTTTTTTATCCTCTCTTCAGAGGAGCACAGGATCGCCAGTGAGCTTTGTGTCATCGATCGATCGAATTGCCCCAAATGCTAGTATCAGGATCAACCGACGAACGATCGCAATTGTGAGCGGGCATTGCTAGCTCAAAAAGGGGGAAAAGGTGGTGTGGAATCACGGGTCCACAAAAAAGGAGGCCGACAACTGCTGGGAACCTCACGATCTTCCGGACAACGTAGTAGTGTCAACTCAAGGCGTTCGTGGTAAGGCATCGCAGCAACAGGGCCAGGCATTGTTTTTCAATGATTCCTTTGAATCTTGTTTGCATATAACTCCTAAATCCCATTGATCCAGGTTTACCCCTCTCCAATGTCGCGAGATTATATAGGTAATGTGGATGTTAATGTATGGCTCAAATCCAATTTCTCATCACCCATTGCCCAAGAAGAAAAGAAAAAAAGAGAGAGGGGAGCACAGGCAAAGCTCCAAACAACAGGGTCTCTCTTGTCCCTTTGGCTGTCGCGCAGGCGCAGCAGCGATTCTGGCAGTGGCAATCTATCAAATTTGGCTTGGAAGCTCCAGTCCAATCGAATCCAGCTGACAAAACGTTGTGACATGGGGTGTTACAATCTGGGAAGTGCGTTGGCACTGTGTCATACTGCCACGTCTACTGTCTTTGCCCGGGCGAAAGAGTTGCGATCAGAGCTTGCAAACGCTCATCACCCAAGACAAGTGAGCTTTTGCCGTGATCGAGTTGGAGTTCTCATCATCACCACCGTATACCATCTCGTGTATGACTTGCCCAAGGGCTGCTGATTACGGCAAGCTCGTCGACTGCTGCCTTCGTTGGCCGTGGTTGGCGACGACAGGCTGAGAGAGCTCTGCAGGGAGAGTGTCGAGAAAACATCAATCACTCATTTGTATATAGAAGTAACATGATCCATCATTAGAACTTTCATATTTACCTAAGAAACAAACATTATCAGTATTTCCTTCATTTAATAGAAAAGATATAAATGTGACATATATTGAAGTACCTAATTTACTTGGTTGTGCATCACCAGATTTGACATTGGTTCCACATGACATTTTGTCCATTCATTCGTGATGTTTTGCATTATATCTAATAATATAAATCACATTTGTTGCTTTGATTTTTAGTTGTTGCTAACTTGATGGTTTGTCTTGCATCTTTGTACATAATTCATCATCTTTCCTTTTGCCACTTTTGTGCTTAGAAGCTACATATGCAAACACCATGTTGATGTTGAAGGATTAGTCCATTACCTTTAGCATCACATTTCTCTATTGTCATTCTCCATCTCTTCAAAAACTTGGTAACCTCATTTTTTAGAATCAACCCTAACATCTTCTAAGTGGGAGGATTAAGCAACTTTGAAGAGTTGTTGCTAAATCACTAAACACTCAAGAATTTGTTTAGCCAATAGTTATGCCAAGAACACCTATACATGTAAAATAGCTGAGAGAAAATGAGAAGATAATTTTGAATTTGACTTACACAAGACACTACATCAATCTCATAATAGCTGGTATTAGCAAAAAGCAAACTCCAAATCATAGAACTCACTACTCACACTTTACACACAAACATATCCATTGCCACCCTCTGCTCATCTCTTCATGTCATTTTGAACTCTACAAACTTCAATTGTGCTCATCTGAAGTTGTCTTGATGAACTCATCTGTATCTTGCATTAATCCAGTTATCTTGCAATGTCTGCCACACACGAATAGTGTCTCTGATAAATCCATAATATCCAAATTTGCATTATGCTTATCTTATGCATCTTAGGATGATCACACAAAAGTGGTAGTGCTTGGGATTCTAGGAGAGAAAAGGAAAGTGAGAGAAAGTGAGGGAATGTCTCTCACTTGAATTCTCATTGTTTTCTTATTTCACCCTCAATGTGAAGAAGTAATTGTGTCTTACAACACCCTAAAACACATAGATTCTTTCCTCAGAAAGGAAAACTAAGAAAGAGTTTCATGACACTGATCCCACAGGTACCAGGAAGGAGCAACAATAGAGAAGAGTGTGATATGCAAGAGACACTGTCTTTAAACTGAAAGGTGAAATACAAAGCAACTTACACAAGACCAAGAAAAATCAAAGGCAGGATCCCCTTCTTCACTGACTTTTTTCCAAGCCATCCTTACTCACTCCCTTAGTCTTGCACGAAACACTGGAGGATTTCATGTCAGGAGCTGTAATCCGGAGGGATACTTTTCTGTTCTCATATGTCCCCTTGACCTGTCAAAATTAAGTTTAACAGTTCCCGAGCATTGGAACTTGTTTTCCAGTATTTCCTCCATACCAAGTGCTTTTCCATACTTTCTTCCTCCCCTAAGTCCACATGTATGTCTAGCGTATCATGTGTGCAGATCCTCCTCAACCCAGTTGAATTGGATCCTCATCAGCTTGATTGCAAGCCATCCGCGAAGAAGATGATCCTGCTCCTAGCAACACAACACTGTTATTTACCTTTTTGCTAAACTCACTTAAGCTGTCTGGAGCTCAAGCAAGCGTCCAGCACTCCGGAGTAAGCATACATGTTTGGTTTGGTTTCCATCTTTCGAAACATTTCCAGGGTGGTCTTTCCATCTCCGTGCTCCGAATAGGCCGTGATGATAGCTCCCCAGTCAACGATATCTTTGCGCACCATCACGTCGAAGGCTTTGCGCACCATCCTCAACGCTGCCACACTTGGCATACATGTCCACCAAGCCAGTCGTGACGATGCTGCTCTTGCCCAAAGATGGTGCCTTTGCTCCGGTGGAAGATGCAACGATTAAGTGCGAGTGAATCGCCCGTCCCTCCTCGAGCGCGTCAGTTCCGAGCGCTCCACAGGCACCCAGAGCGATTGAGAAGATGAAGTCGTCCGGCTCCATTCTATCGTCCTTCATCTCCTGATAGGCATCGAGACCGTCCCGGAAGAGCCCGTTCTGGAAGTAGGCGATGAGAATTGTCCAAGAGAAAACGTTCCTGGTGACTATCCGGTCGAAGGCACTTCGGGCTCGATCGAGCTCGCCGCATTTGCCATACATCTGGACGAGCAAATTCCCGAGAAACGTATCGCCATCGTAGCCGCGGGACTTGAGGAGGAAGTGGAGCCTCTTGCCTTCCCAGAGGTTCTGGCTGCTCCCGCATCTTCGCAAGGCCTCGGCGTAGCATTTGGTGGTGTCGCTGCTGCAGCGCAAACTTGGACTAGAACCCACTACAGCAACATCGCTGGCGAGGGAGCTGGAGCTCCAGACAGCGTCCATTCATTCCATCACAAACTTCTCCGCAAGCAATAGGTAAGGTTCTTTTGTGATTTAAAATCCACTGAAGTTCTGATTCTTTCTCTTGACATTCAGGATTGACAGCATCGCAATCAAGTCCCATTTTCATGGAACATACCGAAACACCAAGATGAAGGAATGATGGCAACCTATCAGCCAGGCAAGAAACTTCTCAAACTTCCAAACTTTCGTTTCAACGAAACTTCTTGAAAGAGCCAACTTTGCAGTTCTAGCTGCAATCGCTAAGCTATTGCTGCGTACTATCGAAGCCTATAGGAGTCGTTGTCCTCGAAACTCTCCCCGCAGAGCTCTCTCAGCAAGATGATCTCAACAAAGCTCACGAACGACAAGGCTATGAGCTTTGTTGATGCTCATGAAATGTTCTCCTCAAGATCATCCACGAGCTCAATCTGATTCCTGCTCAACCGCTGCAGCGATTCCCGCAGAATCAACTTATCCTCGTGCTTCAGGCAGAAGGCTAAGGTCCTGTTCGTGAACTCAATCTCGCAGCCTAATCTCATCACCAGCCGCTTCATCATATCCAGATCTTGCACAACCACAAAAGTCCCCTA